ATGTTTCACATCTCATACAAGAGCCTTCTGTGGTTGTAACTGACTGATGGGTAGATTCAGATGTGTAAAGGCTCACTGATGAGCCAGGACTCACCTGCTTCAAGCTGACAACGAGCAACAGACAGAGTTCACCTGGACAGGTGACCGGTCCATCACTGGGCTAACACTTGAAGACATCAGGGCTCACTCACACCTAGAGCTGCTTTAGAATCACCAGTTCACCTCAGCATGTGTTTGGACAGTGGAAGGAAGCTGGAGAACCCGGTGAAAACATGCAAACAGAAAAATCCAGCTGAGATTCAAACCCACGACCTTCTTGCTACGAGACAAAAGTGTTATCCACTGCCCACCAGTGCCCCAGCTTTTCACTGCTTTGCTAATATGTTTGCGTTCCTTCTCTACTCCCTCTGCATTAGAAGAAACGTTCTCAGCCCGGTGCTGTAAGGTTCTGATGGTCCAGATTATGTTCCCGTTAGTGGTCTGTGTGGAGGTTTTCTGTAAACTTCAGTGTGAAGGCTTTTGTCCTCTTCAGTGTGCCAAGTCAAAAACCGTTTGTTTTCCTTGACATCCTCCTGTAAACGTGATGTCGTCTACGGAGCTGTTACGTGCTCTATAAGCCCCGTGATGGCAGGTGAAATGTCTGAAAACCTAAAAGAGAAGCTCTGAGGATCATCATGACCTGGATTACTGAAAATCTGCACAGACATATTTCAAACTCCCCTTCAATCGTGTAAACAGGGAAGTGTGAAGCAGAAAAAGTTTGCTCAGCTTCAGTCCGAGGGGAAGTGACTGACACTTGATGTGGTTCAACCTGATGCTTGAGGTGGTTCAAGTAAAAGGAAACTGACAGTGTCACTGAGATTTCAAGGTAACGTAAATCATTGGGAGGCTCTTACTACAACCCCTGGCAAAAATGATGGAATCAGCAGTCTGGGAGGATGTTCATGCAGTTGTTTAATTTTGTAGAAAAAAAGCAGATCACAGACGTGCTACAAAACTAAAGTCATTTAAAATGGCAACTATCTGGCTTCAAGAAACACTAAAAGAAATCAAGAAAAGAAGTTGTGGTAGTCAATAACAATTGCTTTTTTAGAGACAAGCACTCCAACACACCACCTCTGGCTTTGATAACAGCCTGCAGTCTCTGAGGACTCAATGAGTGACAAACAGTACTCTTCATCAATCTGGCTCCAACTTTCTCTGATTGCTGTTGCCAGATCAGCTTTGCAGGTTGGAGCCTTGTCATGGACCATGTTCTTCAGTTTCCACT